AGTTCAGGAAGCAAAATCTAATGACTAAAACTGTGGACAAAAGTTTTCGTGAGGAGAGCTCAGGAAACACAATCTAATGACTAAAACTGTGGACAACCCTTTTGGGGTGAATAAACGTAAGAAAACAATATCTAATGAATGAAACTGTGGGCAAAAGTTTTTGGTGAGGAGATTTCACGGAGCAAAACCTAATGACTAAAACTGTGGACAACATTTTTTGGTGAGGAGAGTTGAGGAAACAAAATCAAATGACTAAAACTGTGACCAAAACTTTTTGGGGTGAATGAAAGTAAGGAAGCAAAATCTCATGAATAAAGCTGTGGGCGAAGATTTTTTGGTGAGGACAGCTCAGGAAACAACACCTAATTACTAAGACTGTGGACCAAATTTTATTGCCCACAGCTTTAGTCATTAGATTTTCTTGCTTAATTTGCCTCACCCCACAAAGATTGTCTTCAGTTTTAGTCATTAGATTTTGCTTCCTGAATTCTCCTCACCAAAAATTTGAGCCCACAGTTTTATTCAATAGATTTTGTTTCCTTACTTTCATTCACCCCAACATTTTGGGCCACAGTGTTAGTCATTAGATTTTGTGTCCTCAACTCTCCTCACCAAAAAATTGTCCACAGTTTTAGTCATTTTGTTTCCTCAACTCTCCTCATCAAAAAACTTTTGCCCACAGTTTTAGTCTTTAGAGTTTGTTTCCGCACTTTCCTCCTCCCCCCAAAAAACATGTTCCCTTTCCTTTCCTTTTCCTCTTCCTTTTTTCCGTTTCCTTGTTCTTTTTCCATCTTCCTCTTCCTTTTTCCTTTTCCTTTTCCCTGGTTTTTTCCTTTTCCTTTTCCTCTTCATTTTCCTTTGCCTGAATTATGACAGACCCTGATGCCACAGAGAAGAGAAACAAATATGTGGGATTGAAATTTCCCAAGGATAACACATTTTTTCATTTCCCCATGCAAAGAATAATGCATGCTTTCACTTCCCCAAATAGTTCTGATTCATGTGTGCCACAACATCTCCCAAAGAATGTGTGCCAACATGTGGCAACACAGATACATCTGGGCCACAGTTTTGATGTTCTGACCAGAGTATTCAAACACATTTACAATTACATTTAGCACAAACTCGTGTGCCACATATGTTCTACAAATACTTTCACAATTCCACCTCAAGGTGTCAATGTGAAAAGCAAGTGTCTTGACAGCCCATGTGGTAAACCATTCTGATGTTATTTTCTAGAACAACAGCAGAAACTGTGAGGTTATCCTTAAGAATAACCTCAGAGGTTATTTTTGAGAATAACCTCAGTGAGGTTAGAATTAACCTCAGGAAACAAAATAACCTCAGAGGTTGTTTTTAACCTCAGCTGATCTATAGGGAAAGACAAAACATCCTTGAACCCAGGAACGACCAACCGAGCATTGGCCTTGAGCCCAAGATTGTTCTCCTTCGTGCGCAAGCCATCATGCTTGTCTGTGAACACCCACCTGGGAGTCAGAATCTTGCAGTCTTCCTTCTTGGCCTTCAGGTCAGCGCGGATGCGCTGAGAAGTCTTGTCGTCCAGGACCTCGACCGCCTCGTTTGTCTCCCAAACAGACCAACCTGCTTCAGCAGCGACACGCAAGGCAGCTTTCTGGTCAGGCGTCATGGCACGCCAATAGTACTCTTTTCGAGCAGCCTGGACTGCATTGGCCTCATGAAGTTCATCAGCACCGCAAGGCCACATCAAACCAAGTTTCTTGCGAGCTAGAAACTCACTGCGAGATGGCAAACCCCATCTTCCATCCCAGGTGCCGTGGTCGTGTACTTGAGCATCAAGAGGGTTTGCCCTGTCAACGCAAGCTTCACAGTAGAGCTTGATGAGAGGATGTACTTTGTCACCCTGCTCAAGCACTGACATCACATCTTCCTTGCTCACCACCAACGTGTCATGCAGCTCAGGTTCACAACCAGGTTGTCCAACAGGTCGTTCAAAGGCTGCTTGTGAAGAAGCCAGGGATCGAAGCTCTTCCGTCTCCATCTCCGCAGGGCGTTTCTCCAACAGTCGTGCACGCTCAATCTGCGCACCCAGCACGCCAGCTGAACTAGAAGAAGCACCTGCAAACAAGGGTGGAGCTGCCATAGGTGTATTCTGCCTGGTCATAGGGGTCGTCAACCTCGAAGCCATCACTCCAGAATGGGAGGGAAGTCGCGAAACACTCGCCTCAGTTCCTGACTGCAACGCATTCACCATCTCACGAGGATGTACAGGAGGCAAGTCACTGGAAGGTTGACGTTCACGTGGTTTCACCGGTGGCGTCTCACCAACGGTGGGAAAGGCAGGATGAGCTGGAAGTGGCTCACCATCTGGACTCTCCGTGCTTGGACTCTCGCTCTCGCTAATGGGAACAGGAGGCCACTCCGATTCCTCTGGGATTGGTTGATCATGTACTTCTTGAGGTCGAGCAGGTAGTCCACTACGAGTCATGTCATGCAAGGCGCTAGCCACTGCCTCACGAATCGCTTCTTCCCAATCACCTGCAACAATTTGCTCCATAGGACTCGCCCTTCTCACATGCTCCAAGCTGCACTTTGTCAACTGGCCCTTGAAGGAGATGTAGGCGTTCGCCCCAGTGTTACCTTCAGAACCTTGTTCAACAGCCACCAACAGACCTGGTCCATGCCACTTGCGAAGAGCTAAGCGACGCTTGCTGCCAGTGTTCTTGTTGTTATACTTCTGGAAGCGGAAGAAGTAGACGATGGAGCCTGGTTCAGGAACATCTGCAATCGTGCTGTTTCGACTCCGTGCCATCTCGGCACGCCTCAACCCACGGCTGAAGTGAAGTCTAGTCATGCTCACCTTCGCTGTCTCCCGAAGAGCCATCAGCCGGACATGATCGGGTTTGGTGTCCAAAAGGTCGTGTTCAGCCAATCTCGACTGAATGTCAGTCAAAACATTTGCAGGGACTCGAGGTTGTCTTCCCAAAGCGGCCTGAGCTGGACTGCAGCCCGTCTCATTCACATCGTGGTTATATGCCATAGTAGCCTCACCAAGAGCCAGAGACATCTCCTCAGCACCAATCACGGAGTTCGCCATGACTGTAGCTTGCAGAATCGTCTTCAGGATGCCTCCACTGCGCTCTGCGACGCCGTTTTGCCATGGGGCGCCAACTCCAATGTGCCAAAGGAGCACTGAGTGGCGGGAACAAAAATCTTGAAGCTCCCACAAAATGAACTCTCGGCCTTGATCAGCCACCAAGGTCCGCATAGGTCCAAAAATTGGCCACCATCGAGTCTTCAAAAAATTCACCACCGCTCCTGCAGTCTTTCTCTCCAAAAGCTCACTCATCTGGAAGCGAGTGCAGAAGTCGGTCGCATGGATGATGTAGTATTTGGTGCCCTTGCAATCCTCAGCTTCCAACAAATCAATGTGCACCTGGTCGGAAACATCACGAGGCTGGGGCAAAGAACCAACACGTTGTGACTTGGGCGGAGCACGCTCTGCACAAATCGAGCACTTGTGTTCCTTGGCAGCCTGAATGGCAGCTGCCGGTGCTCCAGAGATCGCCAAGGCACGAGCCAATCGCCTGTTGCTGCGATGTCCTGTGTTGTCATGAAGTCGAGCAATAGCAGCTCGCACACTAGCCGGAATCTTTGCATTCGGAGTCTTCGTGCCATCCTCCTCGTCAGTCTCACTGTCGGGGAATGGATTCCCCATCCTCATCAGCGTCTTCACCATGACTCACAGCCAGAACTTCAGAAGCCCTAGAAGCCACTTCGCTGTTGAACTGCCGCTCCATCCCAACCACAAAGGCGCGTGCCAAAGGTCCAGGATAGTGCCCAGCCCGTTCCGTCACCACACGGCCGCCAATGACCGGGTCATGACCATGGGAGCGATCGCACACGCGCCCATCCAGCAAAGCAACCACCGGAAAGCTCGAAGATGCCACACGAGTCGCTTTCCTGTGAAGCCCACCACGAAGACTGCGAAGTCCAAATTGGCATTGGTGAAGGTTTGCAACCTTGGCTTCAAACTCGTCCAAGAACTTCACCATGTCAGGTTCTTTCCAAGCGGCACTTGGTTGAGGGTTCTCCAGGATGTAGTGCCGACCAGCTTCATGTTGAATGGCTGCCAACTCCAAAGCAAATCGCATCAAAATGCGGCCCTTCTCCAAGATCTCCTCCAGGTTCACGGAAGAGTTCAGCCTCAACAACGGACCGAAAGGCCCACACGGAAATGCAATCATCAAAAAGTAAGGCTTCTCCTTTCTCACAAGCCTTTTGGCTGCTTCACGGTGATCAGCGTCCAGAAAGTTCCAACCAGTCTCCAAACTCATTGGCGTGCCCACTCTGTGACCACGACGTGCTGCCTCCCGCATCACTCGTTGGGTGTTCGTGTACACCTCAGAGACAAAGGGTGGCGCGGAAGACGAACTTTGAGATGTAGAGGCCCTCAAGGAAGAAGTGCTCTGCGAAACACTTGAAGACGGCTTCAAGCATGTAGTGAAGTCAATCGCATGCACAAAGACCTCATCATTCACAAAGGAGTTCATCTCATTCTCAAATTCAGTCTGGAGAGCTTGGTTGATCTTGGCGGTCTCAACTCCAAAACGCGAGAGCTGATCACGACGATGTTTCTCCCAAGCCTGAGAGATCAGAAGAGCCTGACCTCTCTTGAGATCTTGCTGAAGCTTCCATTCATTCACGGGTCCAGGACCCGCTCCTTCTGCTCCGGCGTCAGCTCCAGCATGCCCCATTCGCCATACTGGGCCTCCAGCTTCTCCTCGTAGACGGCTTCCATGCTCAGGGCGGCGTCCTCCATCAGCTGGCGTTGAGCCTCTGCGTCCAAGTCGTTCATGGAGACGTCGGAAGCCTGCTCGAGAGAGTGCTGCTGAGGCATCGTTCCTTGAGTCTGCATGCTGTAGGGCTGGTCCTTGATCTGCTCCACGGCGGCGCTGACCTGCTTCAGAAGCTGTTCCAGGGCGGCCATGGATCGAGTCTGATGAAGCACCTCGCAAGGCTGTGGTGTGAAGGACTGAATGGCCCTCGGTGGCGGTTTCGCCGCGGGCTTCTGCACTGGTGCGCTCGTAAGACGCACAGGTGGTGGCTGTGCCGTTGAGGACGAAGCTCGGCTGTCGGCAGCCGGAGTGCGGCCCTTGAGCGCTTCCACCATAGGCTTCAGCTTCTCCTTGATCACCGGCACGGTGTCCTTCTCTCCAATATGCACATGAAGCAACGCTGCCAAACGAAGAAGATCTGAGCGAAGGGTTGGAAGGCCACCTCTGGGACCAATCATAGCACGAGCCTCTTGGTCCGCAGTGCCTTGCATCTGGGACTGATGCGCTTTCTCCACGGCCTCCGCAATAGACTCCTTTTTCACACGAGCCGTCAGGCCCTTTGCACTCTTCGCAGCCAGCATGCCCATCAGAATGGGGTCCTCCAGGAACGCGTAGCGAATGCCCATGCGATTGCGAAGCCAAATGCAATCGCTCATGTTGCTGACTGTCCATGCTTGCCACAGCTCGGCCTTCTGAAAGGTACCCTTTGGGACGATGCCATTCTCTTCCTGGGTCTTGCCCTGAAGTCGCCATTGTTTCACGGTGGACACCGATGGGTACGGGAGAGGCACGAACCGCATTGAAGGACGTCGCACAAGCCACAAGAAGACACCCCATAAGTGCCAAGCTTGTCTTGCAGCGAGGCGTGCTTCTTGTCCACCTGACATGCTGCCGAGTCTCGTTGTCTTCGCGACCGGCGCTGTGAGCGGCTTTGGCAGCTAGCATGGTCAGCCAAAGAACTGGTAATCGAGCTCGAAGACGGGGACGTCGTAGACGATGTTGAGGGGGTAGTGGTTCGCCCAGACAAAGGCATGGGGGCTTGAACCGTGCTCGTTGAGCCCAAAGAACCAAAAGACCCACGCTCAACAAGTCCATGCACAACACGGCTGGCTTTCACACTGAGTTCGGTCAACATGTGCTCGTGGTGTGCATGTTCGCGTGCATGAGAAGAAGCAAGCTTGACTTTCAACCATTCCTGCATTGACATCTGAAGTTCAACAACTCCATCAATGCCCAATCTCCTCCACTTCTGGGTGCCCAGACCTGCCCAATGCGACGGCAGCAGGCGCAGCATGTAGTGGCCTGCCGCAAGTTGCTTCAAAGGAAGGGCATGGCACTTCAAGTACTCAAACTGGATCACCCGGTTGGCAAAGGACATGTTGGCCCCCACCGATTCGAGGAAATCCCGGCCCAGAAGAAGACCTAAGCTTGGAACAGGTACTTCAGAAACCCATACGCAAAGGACGGTGTCGCCCAGCATGACGGGGATTCGCCACCTGGTTGAGCTAACTTGAGTTCCACCATCTCCAAAACGAAACACCTCATGTTCAGGGGACGACTGCACCAGATCTCGAACAGCTTGGGGCGCATGCTCCAAACAACGAAGAAAACTGTGAAGCCACTCTGAACCCGTGACCGTCCGGTTGCAAGCACTGTCCAAAGCACCCACAAGACGCTTGTCTGCAGTAAGGCCAGTGTGCACGGCATGAACCTCCTTGGAGTTGGGGGCATGAAAAACATCGCTCAACTTCAAGTTTCGGGAAACACACGACACTGCAAGGGCTTCATTTCCATCGACGGCTGGCAAAAGTGCGGGGTCAGCAACAACATGCTCGGTGTTCATGGTCTCGACAACCTTCACCGACTTCGGATGCTTCTTGGGACTCTTACGTCCAAGGCCAGCGCCGGGGTTCTTGCACTCAGGATCTCCGGCCCAGTGGCCGAGTTGGTTGCAATCAAAACAAGGAAGCTTGCTCTTCTTGTTGGCCATCTTGCCTGTCGAGGCCTTGCCATAGCCTCTATCTTTTCGAACCTCAGCCAACTTTGACCGAGCCTCCCTCATAGTCAACAGAGCCTCCGCTGCCGATTCTACGGTCTCTTCGACATCTTGAATGATGTCAGGACCAATGCCGTCATCAACGGCTTCCTCCAACTCCGTGGCCAGAATCTCAGCCTCAGCCTGCAAGACCTCCTCCAGGGAGTATTGCTCATCCGGTTCATCCTCATGAGTCTCCTCATGAGGTTCTTCTTCTTCAACCTCAGCAGCAAAAGCTTGACGCTGCTGTGGCTTTCGAGGGAAAGGCCTGTCCGACCGATACGAAGTGCTCATGCGGCTCGAACCAAACGATGAACCTGAAGGAGCTGTTGAGGGGGCATACGAACTCTTCGACGAGGGATTCCTGTACTGCTGGTGGTGTTGCTGGGACATGAACTTGTTCAAGATGGGGTTACGGTGACCATCGGACGGAGGACCCTTTCTCACAAGCGGATCAGCCGCATGAAGGTCTCGGAAAAGTCGAAGGACCTCCAGCTCCGTCTCCTCATACGACTCCTTACCTTGCAATGCCGTCTCAAGCAACTGAACTCGAATCGCGTCCAATCCAAGCTTCTGCTTCAAAAACCAGCCGAGCTCCGAGGAAGGCAAAACCACGCCCTCTGCCTTCAAATCAGCAACTGCCGACCTGAACCTCGTGCAGAACTCTGCCAACCTTTCACCTGGTCGTCGACGGAGCTCCAAGTAGAAGGCATTGCGAAGGTCACCACGCTTATCAAGGACCGTCTTGCCATTGATGCCCTCCAATGCACGCAACAACTTGTGCAAGCCAGCCAAAGGATCCTCAGGCGTAATGACAACGACTTCCCCAGTCACCGGGTCAGTGGCGGTGATCTCTCGCTGATACTCCAAGTCAGCAGGCGAGAATTCTTCGCCACGTTGGCGGACAATGCCGCTCTGCCTCAACAACCATCGTGCAGCCAGGTTGTATTTCTTCGTTCCCTCAAGGTCGAGGGCTGACATCCACCATTGCATCTCCCTCATGAAGGCTCTCCAGCCCTGAGGGTTGCCATCCCAGGTAGGAACTCTTGACCAAGCTCCTGACCCTCCGTTCTTGTCCTCATCGGCCATGATGTGGTCTTCGACAACTAGCGGTGGAAACAAGGGTGCAACAAGCAAAAGCAACGGGCCAAGAACCTTAGGTTGAAGTGCCCACCAAATTCCAAGGACTACTTATCCGCCCTGTCCTGAATCAACCCGACCTGAACCGCAAGGATCACCCAGGTCAAACTCAAAAGGGAAGGGGTAGAAGTCCAAGCACGTGCAAAAGCCAGGGAGCAAGCGCAGTAGCGGAAGCGTACGGGCAGCACAAGCGACCTGAAACGGCGGCTCCGGTGCCACTGATGAAGAGCGGCCGCACGGCAGCTCCGAACAACGTGACCTTTTAGCCGGACCACATGGCGTAGCAAAGTCGGGTCAAGTACTTAAGCCACAGAAGCAGGGTCAAACACGTTCCATCCAAGGCACAAGCTTCAACAAATCTTCTCCACAATTTCATCGAGTTGCCGTCAAGTCGTTGCCATGATCAATACCCTTTTCAGGCAGTTGTCCCTAGGGCTCCTGGGCTCCTGGCCCATCTCCTCAGGTTCGGTGGTTAGACCCTCCTGGCACCCACCCCAACCACGTTGGAGCCCTAGGGTATGTTCATGTTGTTCCATTTTGGGCTCTCCACGAGGTCGCTCCGCAGCAGGTCGCTCCAGAACCGCCTCCGCAGCTGGCGATGGCCGCGGCGTAGCTGATGGCGTCGCCGGAATCGCCCAGCTCCTGCGGATGGACCAGGTGCGTGGCTCCAGCTTTCCACAGGCGGCCAGGAAAGGGGTGGGACATGTATGGAATATATATGCCGCCCCATTGACCCCCAAACCACCCCCATGTAGGCAAATATGGCAGTCCCATGGAACGAGCCATGACTGGCTACGTCATTTTTGCCGTATGAATTGCGGAGGGGGGGAGCAGTATAGGGGAGGCCACCACAGATGTAAAAAGCGCTAGCCTACTGCCATGCGACTGGCATATTTGTTCGACTTTCATCCCTTTGATCCCCTATTCAACCACCCCAATTGTAAACATTCCAACCCAATGGAGTGTCTGGGCCTGGTGACTATAGTGCCACTGTAGTGCCTAGTCGGCTGCCATTTTGTCCGCCATCTCCGGAAGGCGTATACTACGAGTATCTTATACTCAGGAGAGGTCATGAAAGACATAATCCCCGACCCATCCAGACCGAGCCATTCGCAAAACGTCAAAGACTTCCGCGAAAGAATGATCTGCCGATCGAAGGCTCCGTTCACAGCGCCTTAGTCCCTCAAATAACCGGATTGGTGACCTGGTCACCCCGTTCGACCCCTCCAGCGTTGGTCACACGGTCGGGTCAGAAGAAGGGTCGGTTTCCGTGCGTCTCGCGTGCGTTCTGCGTGAGCGAATCGACGTGGCCGGGTCCACCGGATGTGGCAGTTTTGGGATCCTCCAGTAGCTGAAGGGACCGCTGCCACTCATTGCCTGGCAGAGTCATGAAAACAGAAAGGAAGAGAAAGGCCCACCAGGGAAGCGAGTCATACCGAGTCCTTGGGGGTCTTGAAAGAAAGGAAAGAACCCAGGCCACACGTGGCCTGTGGGCATGAAATCCACCGTGTACAAAGCTTCTCGCGCTCAGCCATGTCGCTTGCCACTCGCTACTGTAACCACAGTATCCACATTGGAACCAACTAAACTTCGTAAACTTTATATTCACTTGCCTTGAAAGCTTCTTGGTGCCAGGACTTCAATAGGAGACTCACTCACATATCGCTGTTGGTGACCTCGGGTGGAAGTTGGACAAATGTTGAACATCTTCCACGACGACGTCACCACCAAGGTCAACAACCACCAATGCATGTCACTTGGTGGTTGGCTTCCAGCATGCAATCAATCAACCACAAATGAATAGAATATATGTGGAACAATAGCATTGCATGATACAAGTATATGTTCAACTAAATGAATGAACATTACTTGGTCACACGTACAGTATTGCTATTGTTGAATGCAATCAAATTACTTCCTGGATGAGTGCGTATCCAACTTGTACTGCATCCAACTCTTGGGCTCTTCAGCAACAACTCGTGGGCTCTTCAGCCAAACCGTCCCGTCAAGCTCGAGTGCCCACCCCGGCCGCGGCTCGTGTTTGGGCGGCCGAGTCGACTGGAGAGGAGTTCATTGTTTGTACATGCAGTCTCATCAGCAGCAGACCATCCCCTGTCGGGTCGCAAAAAGTGGGTTAGGATGTGTCGGATGTGTTTTCCAGAACCTGAGGTGTGGGCCTCTGAACATGGAGGTGGTAAACCTAGAATCTAAAACAAGTGGTTTGCCCTCGTGGAAGAGACATAATTAGATATTTTACAATACCCCTACAGGTGCATCGGATGCTCATCATGCTCAGCTTCCATGATGTTCTAAGGAACCAGCTGCGATTCGTCTGGCTCGTCCCGGACCTGCGGCACAGGCGCTGATGAGTGCGTTGTAGCCTCGGGAAAGGGGCAGTTCAGATTGGAAAGGGGGTCACCCTGAAACAAAAAGGTGAACCTTTTTCCAGCTGTTCGCACCTCCCATTGCCAGCACGGGTCGCTGTTCATATTTAGTGGGAAACCGACCCCCAACACAGGTTGAAGGTTATCTGAAGATTGGTCAGACCAAAGTCAACACCAAATGACCTACTAGGGGAGTGTGCTCTTCAAAGGAAGGATATGATGGGGGTGATCAATTTCAACTGGTTTGCGGGGGCAAAGTAGGTATGCAATGCATGGGCAAGGAATGCCTTCTGGAACTATTATTCTCTAATACATTCTTCTGCAAGTGGTTGCTATGACAAATGAGAAGGTTCTCAAGGTTTCTCAAGGTTGGCTGGACACCTTCAAACTGCCTGGTCTAACATACACATGTGAGTACTCCAAAGGTGAGTACTCCAGTCCCATGGGTCGTGTCTGACCAAATATATACCTCGCTATCACTGGACGACTCCAAAACAGCCATCGGCAGGTTCCCATCCAAGGGGAGTGGAGCCAATCGGTGGCAGGTTGAATCCTGGCAGGTCACATCACATCAGATCGGAAAAAACAGTGGATCCTCACCCGACTGATGCTGACTGGGGATGTGAATGTGTTTCCAGGAGACGCAGGCTTCCGGCCATGACCTGCGGCTGCATAGTCTACTGGAGCTTTTGTTGGTGCTCTTTCAGAAAGGTCCAGGAGCCGATTCCTACTGCAAAAACGTGCTCATGTTTCAAATCCTTTGGCAGGTAGAGCTGCATCCCTGCCTCCGTTTCAGTCTAAGGCTATTGGGTTTCAATGGGCCCTTGAACGGTCAGTCCCAGGCCAGGCTGGAGCCTTGCAGGAGGCAATCTCCTAGCCAGGGCTGGCCTATCTCCTCGACCCCCCCTGGTCTCCCAGGCTCGCTCCCACGCTGCGCGTGTTCGTCCCAGTGGCTGTTGGTCACGGGTGTGAGCTCGTCCTCCGGTCTTGCGGTGTGGCGAGAGGTGTCGTTTGATCTGAGGAAGAAGCAGCTGGAAGTGAGCCGTGTGAGAACCCGTAAAGGTTTGAAGGGCAATAGTGGAGCCATGTTCGAACAGGGAACCGCACTGGGGCCTCCTGGGGGCACGATTTGCAAAAACCATGATCTCAGAACCATATGCCTGCAGATTCAATCTACTAGGAATTTCTAGTGATTTAAGAAGTTTAGTAAATTTTAGTTGTTTTCATCGTTTGGGGAGGTTTCTAGGCGTTCTAGGCGATGTGGTTTGAAGCGATCGATGTTGCGTGATGTTGGTGTGATGTCCCACCCCTCCCATCTGCTGCGCTGCGCTCTTTGCCAACTTCTTTGCCAGCGACTGGTGCAATCCTAGCGCCGCTGGGCCGCAAAGGTTTTGTCAAGTAATCCTTTGTAAAGATCCAAGCAGCGTCGCATGGTCGCGACAGATGCTGCTCCTCCATGGGTGGCTCGGTGAACTCGGGACACCCGTCCTATGAAGTCTTCGTCGCTCCAACATCCACTCACCATCGGTGATACCCTGGATGTTGCAAGCTTTTCTGCGATTTCCAAAAACATATGCAATTTGGGTCTCAATCGATATAGCTTCCATGACTTGGAATAGGATTGCGAGGCTAAGTGAACGTGGGCATCCTGAGTTGGTGAGACTAAGTATAGATCAACATCGAGCTGGAAGGTCGCAAGGGCAAGGGCTTAACAAAAGAAAGAACCTATAATGCAGGCATGGCTCGCAGAACTCAAAGGCTGCCCTTCTCGCAGTTGCAGAATCTGTGGAAGACAAAAAAGTACCACTTCCATTGAGGATGGTAAAGAACTTGTTCACTGTCCGAACTGCGTAAAGGGCCATCTCAAGCATCTCACAATCGCATGACAGCTGCAGAAGCCAAGTGAGCCAAGGTTTCAACTCACTGCCTCTAAAGCCGTATGGTAACTGGTGACTTGGCAACAAATTAGGCACCTGGTGGGTGAGAAAGTCTTCCAAAAAGCGGAAACAACACCAGTATCATGACCTTTTCCAGCTAGGCTTGTGGGGAACGTACGTGGCCTTAGTTGTTGTAGATTGGATTGCGCGAAACATGTTGCGCAACACAAGTTCTTTCTACATCATGCAAATGAACATTAATTAGACAAGAGTCCCCTTCACGCCCATGGCTTTCTGGGTCCACACATCACACGCCGTGTAGCGCTTCTCTCTCTTGCACCATTGGATGAACGCAGTGTAAGCTGCATCGAGAAAGTGGCTCAACTTATCCCCAAAAGGACTCACAAACTTCTTTTTGTTGGCCAGCAGAACAATTGTCGATGAACAGAAATCAACACCAATGCCAATATGGAAGGTGTGCACAATGTCGGGCATGATGCGCATACATGAGTCTGCACCCGGCACTACCCAAAATGGGTGTCTGCGTTTGAATGGAGACCTTTCTGCAGGTCTTGGCAGTGCCTTCCACGAGGCGCCAGCTGAGAAGTCATACCACTCCTGGCACAGGCTAGTGGGGCTGGAGAGAGTTGGGCTTTTGAGGTGGTACTATGTGGTACTCAGATTGTGTTTGGTTGTTCTTTTTGAGGATCCAGACCTTTGCTTCGCACCAGTGACATAGCCTTTTGGAGGTGAAACCGGTGGCTAAGGCAAATGCCTTGGTTTCTGCAGAAACTGACCGAAATACGGTGCACGCGCACAAGTTGGAAAACCCATATAAGGGCCCAGGGGCTTTTCGAATGTAGGGCCAATCACCTTTGCCCGCGATGAAGATAAACTTGAATCGATGGCCTCCTTTGACCTGCGAAAAGGAATGCATGGTTGTCATACAGGCCTTAGTCTAAACCTTCTTCCCGCCTCTATCCCTGTATAGTGGAGATCACGCATTTCATTGGCCCAGGCCCTGTTTAAGTCTTCAAGAGTTTGTTCTCCATTAAAAAAGCGACTCGTGATGCAGGAGTGCAAGATCCGGGAGCAAAATGAATGCCTCAGCTACCCATGGACGGCAATCTTAAACATATATATGTTCCCAAAATAGACATAATAATGGTCAGCTTCCTACTTTGTTTGGGATCCTTTAAGTGGGATTGTAAAATCAACGCCCAGCAAAGAATTATGTGCAAGCAATGGGGCCCGCTTGTGTTGGTTTTGGCCAGGCCCTTCCATGACAGCACCGGTTGCCATGCTTGTACCATAAATGGTTGTCGTCGAAGGCCACGGCCCTCGTCTCCGTGTATCATGTACGGTATAGCTGTCTCAAGATCAGTTCCATCAGTGAAGACTGGATGATTCGGGTCACATTGTTGAAAGGTGCCCCAAAAAAATCGCAAGAGTGAACGCCACTTGCTTTCTTGCTCCAGCATGTGCCCTCCAAGCAACACCTGGGGAAACTGTTCCATGAGAAGTGGAATCCAGCTCTTCATCGGAAGAACAGGCCACCAAACACGTTCGATTCTGACTTTCGGCTTTCGAAACCTGATGGTCGTTTGAACTACATCGATAGGAACTTGAAGTGATGCACCAGCTTTGTGGATTGCAACGGTCAGGTTCCTTGTCACATTGGTCTTGCTGTTGGCCGCCGATGCGATCTTGCAAAGAAGATCTCCAGTCCCTTGGCACAAGAGGGGGATGGCTGGGTTTGCTGAGACTGTATTTCACAAGCGCATCATACTATATAGTACGTTTAATTATAGATAGAGCTACGTACATATTACTATATCTACGCCAAGGCGCTGTGGGAGCGATTTGCAAGCGCGATTTGAGCTGTCCTCGTAACTTTTTTGGCTGTCTCTGCCTTGGGTGAGCAGTTATCAATCACATGTTCCACATATATTGAGTTTAGCTTTCCCGAAGTGAAACAAAGTTTTGTCAAGAAACTCCCGAGAAATAGCTTTCTAGAAGCTCCAAGGCATGGGTGTTGTCCAGCTCGGTTTGCTCTCTCTCGCCATCACATCCTGCAACGATAGCTAACTCAGGAAAAAGAGTTAACTCTCCTATATATAGCAAGAAAACCAGCATGCGCAGGATCAGCTTGAACATTTTGGCCCCGCCTCCAACCATAGAGTGCAAGGCAATCCGTGCATCACGACCTGGCAAGTCACACCCAAATTGCCTAACCTCGGTGTACCGCGGTGTACCGCGGTGTAGTTCTTGCAGTGCAGTGGGCTCCAAACACGATGCACATGCACAATTTTTGAGCAGCCCCGAGCATAATTATGTGTCAAATGGTGTGAGCCACTTCTCGGCCACTGGAATCCATATGCTAAGTTTCCATATGGAGCGAGTTCGAAAACGAACTATAGCGAACCCCAAAAGCCAAATCCAGCTACTTACTTCTAGGCCTTAGCCTTAGACTTAGACTTCCTCTTTGGACGAACCTTATCCTTTGCTGCCGGGGCCGATTTGGCCTTTGCAGCAGCGGCTCCATTAGGAGCGGCTCCCTTGGCCTTGGAAGCAGCTTTCGCCTTGGGTGCCGGCTTCAAGGCCCTGCCCAGGAGCAATCAATGAACATATATATTTAAACTTAAACTGAACAAACATCACCCACAAAGAGCCTTGCTCTTGACAAAAGGTTGTTGATTTTGATGTCCTTCCGCGTGCAATTGACAAAGATCTTCCGCAGATCCTCTCTTGAAGCTTCCTTAAAGCCACTTGATGGAATTTGAAAACTATATAAATGTGTTCAGTGTTATGCACATTTTTTCATGCAACCGTGAATCTGAAGGTTCAGCCATTTCGCAGCATTTGTTCTGAAAATCAACCAACTCATCGTACTGCAGTTGGTACTCTTCCTGTGTCTTCTTGAGCGAGTCAGCCATCCTGGGCCGTACAGCAGTGTGGACACGCAAATACGTGGCAGAAGGACAGGCTTATTAAGACCATGTGCAAGCTAGTGTCTCATGCGACCTTGTGGTGTTGTACGTGCTGATCTTCTCCTCGCCGTTCCAAGTGTGACATAATCAAACCGTGCTAGGTGTGGTTACTGCGTGGCGTGGTTCCTCCATGAACAAAAACACCCAAAAAGCGAGAAGCACTCCTGGAATTCTGCAACCTTGTCAATCTTGCGGCCCATTTGGTCGATGTAAGACGTGATGTAACCTCGCCCAAGACTCAGAAACAAAATCGAAAATATGTACGTGGCGCATCTCTTGTACTTTGATCAAGTTGATGTCAATCTACATTGACGTATTCAAGACACTGAAGGGATCAGCATTTTGCTGAATCATTGGAAACCCCTGCATTCGAGCGCTGTTGGCAGATTGCACAGACAAGCTTCCTCCGGTGTTGACCGCTGAAGCACCTCGCCTGCAAACAGACACACACACACACACCCTCTTTAAAGTATAGTGCTATTGCTTTCCACGACTAGTACTACATGCTCTTGCGCAAAAAGACTTGCACACAAGCATCATGAGCTAGGTCAGTGGTTTGCTAAAAGGCCTGATCAGGCTATCGACATCCACGCCAGAAGTGTCCAATAGATGACCTTCTGGATCATCAACCAGCATTTCTCCAGACCCCTCGGTCTCGTGCGAAGTTCTGTCGGTATGCGTGTAAGTGGCTTCAACTGGAATGCGCCACTCATCTGCACCATGAACTGGGTTCTTCTTTAACAGGTTTCTGCTCGCAGCCCACTCACGACTGTTCTGGATCATCTGCCTGGGTTGCACCCACTCAGAGCAAAACAATCGTATACATATTATAAAGTGTGCACATAAATACCACTGCAAAACATATATTAAGCTATGCGCTCGGTCCACCCAAGGCGTCCAAGAGATACCTCTGTGTGCCACCCTCCCTGGAGCGTCTCTTCAACAGTTTTGGAATGAAGCGATTTGACCTTGAGCTCCATCTTGCCAAAGGTTCCCTCTCTACGCAAAATCTCTGCCAACTTCTGACCTTATGTGTGGAACAAGCTGCTTTGGGTGGTGTTGCATAGAGCGCAAATGGGTAAACACAATATAATTGGCAATCATGGGGCGTTTCTCAGGGTCCTTGAACATAGCACATGCTTCCTTGCTGGCACTAATCTCACCGTCTTTGTTGGGGGTGAAGTACCGGCGCAACCTGAAGTCATGCGCACAGCAAGTGATATTCAAAGACAAACCATATGAAACATATCAACTCGATCGTCTTTATAGACTAGAAGCTTCCAATACGTACCATCCTTGTACATGTTCGGCGGGTCGGCATCGGCTCCAGCACGCGCTGGAGGAGGAGGTTTCGCAGGAGGGGCCGCAACAGCTGGTGAGATTGGGCGCAAAGAGGGAGGAGGAGGAGATAATCCCAAGCTCTTGGGAATGACCGGGGAAAAGGGTGACAGAGAGCGAGGCTGAGCGTCGGGCCACTCTTCTGATCTAGACTGAACAGTGGCAACTGACGGTGATAGTATCAACGTCTTGGGCAACTGCCTCGTTCCCTGATATTGCTCACGTCTGGCTTGTGCATCTGGCGTCTCCGTGGTTGGAGGGGGTGGAGAGGGCATTCCAGGCGCAAACAATCCGGCAGCTTTGGGTTGCTGGAAAAGGTCACCTGAGACATGAACATATATGAAACAAAATTATCGAAGAACATCATTTTCTATGAAAGTGAACTTCTTCAGGGCGTGACACCTGATCCCAATGATGGGTCCCCTCCACTCGCAAGTCCCAAACTCTGCTGAAGCTCCTTGATGGCAGTTTGTGCTGCCTGAGAACATATGCGAGTGGACAAGGCCAAATCTCTCCAAAACTAAATATATAATACTTATAAACACATCTATGTGTATTGTTCTCTAGAAGACATGCTTACTGCACTCATCCATCCAGAAGGGCTAGTGAAGTCGAGTGACATGTATTTGAGCGTCAATGTCAAGACCACCCTGGTTGTTCAAGGCCTCAAGTCCCTGGTCCAAGGTATGGCACGAAGCCGCTTGCAACACAGTCGAGCCTGACATGTCACCCTGTACGCAACAGAAGTAAGTACGATCTGAGCCAACTTTCCCTGCACAGTAATGTGGCGGCGTGCACGAAAGCCCTCGAGACATGAAATGCATTCTGACACATTCAAACCAAACACCGCTGTACATAGGCATTTTTGGATGCCCAGGCCAAAGCTTCACGAAACAAATGGTTACACGTGCACAGCTGCTCGCTTCTTTACTTAGAGGCCCAGAAAAGATCTATATAATAGCTATCTCAAACTACGAGGTTTACGAGATTTCCCGATTTGCGGGCGTTTGCTGGTTTTTGCGGGCGTTTTGCGGGTTTTTGCGGGCGTTTTGCGGGTAATTCTGGTCGTTTTTTTTCTAATACTTCAAGTTCTGGTGATGGGCCATCATGGTCGAGCGAGAAAATGCTAATTAGCAATTTCATGGCTTCGAATTATGCTTCAAGCGTGTCTTCACACACTTCATTGATGCCAAAGGGGTCCGGATTCTTCACCTGGGAATGGCAGTGTGAAGGCAGAACATGTTCTTCACACATCATGCCGAATGGGGTATCACCGTTCAATGGGGATCTGTTTCATTAGACGAGTTGCCTTCGCTAGGGCATGAGCAAATTCATCTATAGCAGCCTTCCATTCCCTAGTTGGAATACGTAGCTTCTTGTTCTTGAGGATGTAAAAAACATCTTGGGAAGCTCAGCATCTTCCCACGTATCTCCCATCGGCATGCGTTTGAACGCATCCAAAGCTGAATTGAAAGCAGTCATGTCTTTCTTTTGCCGCAAACAGGGCGTAGGAGTGTACATGAAGTGGTTTTCCGTCCAAATCTTCACCAGGTGTTCCCCAAAGCCTCTCGGGTATTCCCTTAGACCAAGTGGAAAGTGAACCAAAGTTGAGTCAACACCCTCAGCAGATGACAAAATAAGCCAAGGACTGGGTTTCCTTCAACTCGCTGGTCCCGCAAAAGCCTTTGGAGCCATCGGCTTTCTCGTATGCGCCTGGGCTGTCTGTCAGAAGGTTCACGGTCCCAGGTAGGGGTGGTTGGTTGTAAGGCTCCCACGGGTTGTTTTGATATGTGTTCTCTCCTCACGTTCCACTTTGGAAATAGGACCCATGGCCTTGGACATCAACACCCAACAGTTGTGAACTACCTACCCTATAGATGATATTGATTGAGGGCAGGGCCAAGCTGTCGGCAACTTCTCTACGGTTGGTCCAAATGATCGTGGGCTTTAGGCTGCCCCCACCAAAATGAAGCATGTGGAAGTGCTGCCTCCAAACCTGAGCCAATGTGGAAAGGACTATATATAATATATATATATAATATGCAGCCAAAAGATTAGTAGAGCTGCGCAGATCATATTTGACATCCATATGTTCAATCAGCTAAGGTTCAATTGCGACACGGTTGCAAATCCATGAGAACCGAGGATAGTTTGGAAGTACATCTCCACTTCCCAAAGGCTGTTCAACCATGAAAATGCCGTGTGTGGCAATGGTCAAGAGCAAGGCCACCGACAACCTTTACAAGACCCGTTTTTGAATCAACCGGAAGCACCACTGGAAGCACCCATGTGTGGTTTCGTATTGTGTTTATATCAAGTAGCCCTGCCTGGATATCATAAGGTTTCCAGTTTGTACAAAGGGAACTGATAGGTCTCCAAAACAATTGATGCAGGTTCTCAACGAAGTGCCCCTGGATATACGTGTCCAGCTTGAACACACCGGAGCGAACAGGTGCAATGCTCCTGGCGATGATTGCAGCAGCATCACCAAGGCTAGCCTGGGGCGGTGCCGTCGAGTGAAACAAGTTGCTGTGGCTTTGGGCAAAAAGCTAGGTCTATTTGAGGCAATCAACGCGAATCCTGCGGAAGAGCACCAGTCCATTGAGGGTTCATCCCTGAGTTCAAAGTTGGCTACACTGTACCTGTTCTCCCTGAAGCACGCGCTTACATGGCCAGTTCCGCTGAAGAATTCCAGCATGTTGTACCGTACCGTTTCCTCAACGTTGGAAGTCCAGGTCAATAGAAGTACCTCGATTCATGTGAGTGAGTCATTTGACCACGTAATCTCACACAATAGCTAGCTATAGCATTCTTGGTCAAGGTGAGTCGCAATGGCCAGTAGCACCTGAGGCAGAGGCACAAAAAAAAAATATATATATATATATTCGTGTTTGGGAAAACGAACGGTACTTTAGGCGCCCACCTTTGGGGCACCAATCTGGGCTAGGTTGAGGATCAAGTTGTCTTCTCTACGGAGCGGCATTGCGTCCAGGCCAATATATTATATCGCGCGATCTATATGTAGGAGCTCCCACAACGTTTGCAGCCAATCGAGCTACGAGAGGGTAGCATGTTGATAAACATTTTAGAGCACAAAGAAAAACTGCAAATACAGAGCGCTAGTAATCTGGTCGGGCAGGCTTCCTGAGGCTGCTCTAGAAGCAAACCGTTCAAAGTCGGGCATCAAGAAAATGGAAGCACCTGCGTGGGAAAGTTGTGTTTGAATGTTCATATATATATATATATATTGGTGCTTTGCTCGTGCATTTTGAAAGCTTTTTTTGCATGACACGTTTGCAAGGGTAAGGTGAGAACATGTGTCTTGCGTACCCCCTCCCTAAGCCATGGTGATTTCACACCCTAAGGCCTAAGGCTTCCCAGGCAAATGAATTGCATATGTACGCACCAACTCATGAGCGCAACTCCCAGCACTGTCCTATCAGCTTCATCGTGAATCATTCCCCGAAGGCCATCATGATCAGGTAGTGGAAGCATACACCTCAGTCATGAGCGAATAAACGGTTGCAAAGTGAATCGCTTTTTTCAACCAAAGGACTGCAGAGGCTGCCTTCTTTGCTTCTTCGTCGCTCCATCCTTCGCTAAGACGTAGCTTGCGTTCCTTGTGGTGTGCAGAGCTTTTCCTCGACATGAGAGCCTTCTTTGCTCTCTTCGCTTCATCCTCCTTGTCACCCTTCTCGCAAGCAGGAGCCACCTTCGCCTTTGCCTTTGGCGCTGCTTTTCCCTTGGCAGCAGGCTTGGCCGATGCCTTTGGCTTGCCAGTAGTGCTGACCGCCTCGGTCATCTCTTCGTCCGCCTTTGAAGCGCCAGTCTCGTCCTTGGCCTTGCCACGCTTCTTCTTGGGCTTGTCCTCTGGCTCTTCTTCTTTGTCTTTGGGAAGTCTCTCCCTCTTCTTGCTCTTCTCAGCATTCTCCTTGGGTGCCTTCTTTGCCCCTGTCTTCATGTCACTCTCCTGATTGTTTTTGCAACGCATCCTCTTGGTCTTTTTGCCTGATGCTACCTCTTCCGCTTCCTCATTGTTCTCATCTCCAGGCTCGACCTTTGAGGCCTTCTTTCGTTTCTTTGCTTGATTGTCTTGTTTGTTCTTTTCTTCTTTTGGCTCTTTCTCAGCGTGCTTGGCATCATCCTTGTTCTTCTTAGGCCTCCCACGTTTCTTGGGTGGGCATTGATCATCCGGAGAAATGTAGGGCAGCTTCCCAAGAGCTGCAGGCTTGCATTCGTCCTCGTCAACTGGGCCACGACCTGGAGCGGTCAAGTCTTTGTCATCCCCGCTTACTTTCAAAGGCTCTTCAATCGCAGCCGCAGCTGCAGCAGCCTCAGCTTGGCATGGTTGGCTGTCTTTGGGAAGCTCTCCAGCC